TGGATTAATTTACAAAGTGCAAAAAAGACAAGAATAAACAAGTCATCCATTTCAGAGTCAATATGTTTTTTTTTTTAAATGTACTAATAAGTACATTAAACAAAAGTGAATTCCTTGAATTCCTCATGATTTTGCCTCCTGCACTTTTTACACACAGCAGACCTGAACGTCTATTTAAGCACCATGTAATTTTCACATTTCTTTCTCAGAGCTTGTCCTCATTCTCTTCTCTTCTCAGTTATGCAGTTCCAGGAGTGGTTGCGGTCACTTTGCTCACACGCAGGATTTAAAGTATCTGAATCAGAGGACCTGGGGACCTTGCCATCTATCTCCTCCTTCTCTCTGTCGACCTCCTCTCTGCTGGGTCTAGGAGCCTTGGCCTCCCTCACTGTGTACTGGCTGGTGACCCGTCCTCAGCCCATGCGTCCTCCCTGTGACCTACAAGCTCAGTCTGTCGCCGTCGGCGTAAGTGCATCGCCATTGACAGCAGCATTCAAGTACCGTATTTTTTGCCCTATAAGTCCCAGGTTTTTTTGCATAATTTGCATGCCATGCGACTTATATGCTGAAGCGACATATTTATAGATTTTTTCCCATATTTATAAACCAATTTTTGGCTGAGATATGACCGTTTTCATTCATTCTGACTGAAAATATTGAACGCCACCATTTTCAACCGTCAGTCGAGCATATGGCATGTCGTTGTATCATGTAATAGGTAAAGGTGGCTATTAATGGCACAATTGGTTTCATATCCTGCCACCGTCGTCTGCCTGGAGCAACCGTCAAATCAGCTTCATTTTGCTGCGCCACCCTGACGAAATGCAGATAATTTGACCATTGAAGTGCATTTATTAATTAAATGTTCAACTGAGACACACCTTTACTATAATGTTGAGCAAACAAATTATTGTTTTTAAGTGGTTATCTTTTTAAATTTCGAAGAAATCTGTGCGTTCATGTTTCTGCGTATTGGGTTTTGAAATGCAGCTGATTTGACCGTCAAAGTGCATTTATTAAGGAAGACTGAGAAACAACTTTGCTATATTTTCTAGTAAACAAATAATTGTTTTTAAGTGTTAATCTTGTTAAATTCTTGTTAAAGTCCTCCCGTGCACACCATTTGGTAGCCCATCGATTTTTGGCACAACACCGGCCCACATTTCTGGGTCCGGCCCACATTTCTGGGTTGTCAGCGGTGATGCGTAACAAATGCGACGTGTCAGCGGTGATGCATAATAGATACGGTGAAGCGACGTATTTATGAATTTTTCCACTTTATTAGACATACTTGGACTGATGCGACTTACAGGGCGGTGCGACAGGTATGGCGGAAAATACGGTATTTAGACGTGTCTCGTGTGTTTAGTCTTCAGTAAGGGTTTTTGTTTGTTTGTAGGGAGATCCGAGCTGCAGGCGGTCCGCTCTGCTTCAAGATGACACTCTGATGGAGTTTTACCATGACGACATCAGGACGGCGTACGACATGTTCCAGAGAGGTCTGAGGATCTCAGGTGACATGTTTTAATTGTTTTAACATTGTCTGAAAATGTATCAATCATATTTAAGATGAATCTCAATGAGCGAACTTAAACTTATACATCTTCAAAGAACAATGTATGAGAAGAGGATATTATTGTCTCCTTCAGGACATGGTCCATGTCTTGGCTTCAGAAAGCCAGGTCAGCCCTACGAATGGATCTCTTATGTCGAGGTTTGACTAACAATTCCTGAGTCATGGTAGCTCTGCTGTGTGTTACGTTTTTTTTTAACTGAGCGCGTCCAATCTTCCAGGTGACCCAGCAGGCACAGTGGATGGGCAGTGGCATGATTTCTAACGGCTGCCAGAAATACGTTGGAGTATTTTCACCGAACAGACCTGAGGTACAAACTCAACTACACAGAGGGTTTTAGCTTCTGTTGTTCAGAAGCATCTATAAACCAGTGAATGGTACCAAATAACTCCCCACATGGAAAATGAACACTTTGTTCATGGAAACATGTGTACAATAAAGGCTATAATATATACTGATTGAGACAGCGCAGTGTACCTATAACAGTCTCAGAGACATACCATACCGTACCACTTTATTTATAAAGCACTTACAAACAGCAACAAGGCCAACCATCATGTTGTACAGCAGAAACAAAACAAGCAAAGAACACAGGATAAAATACATAGAGCCAAATAGTTATAGATAAGAACTAAATGACTAACGTTATAGAATACAGACGAGTTCAAGTCAACTCACACAATGTCAAAAGCTAGGGAATAAAAGTGTGTTTTTAAATGAGACAAAAACAGTAAGAGAGGGAGCCTGCCTGACATGCAGTGGCAACTCATTCCACAGTCTTGGACCTGCAACAAAGTTCTGTCACCTCTGAGCTTAAAACAAGTGCCTGGAACCAATAAAAGCATCTGGTCTGCTGACCTCAGAGAGTGCTGTGGGACATATGGCTGCAGCAGATCAGCGAGATAGGAGAGAGCAGAACTGTTCAGAGATTTAAAAACGTACAGAAGGATTTTAAAATGAATTTGAAAGTGAACCAGGAGCCAGTGAAGGGAGGCCAGAATTGGAGTAATGTGACATGGATTTAGACCGCTGAGCATTCAAACATAAACCTAAAGAGCCTTTGCTGCTACTTTTGTAATTCAGAAGCAAATTCATTAAAACTGCTAGGGCACAAGAGGTTATTTTACGGAATAAAAAAATATGACTTAAATTTCATGCCATCATTGAAGTCTGAAGTTTATGCTGATCCACCTCTGGAGTGAGTTACCGCAAAGCCAAAGTGGGGAAAATCACGAGCAGAAACCCTGAAAGAGCAATCGTTGCTGCGGATGGATTTATAAAATGTTGTAAAGATAGTACCTCTAAAACTGAATTCATCTTTATTCTGTGTCAAAATGAATAGAAGTGACTGCATACTCCTGTAACATGTTTTAATAATAAGGTTTGTGACTGTACAATCTGAAAAACACTGAACAGGTGCACTTTGTTTGGACAAGCTGTAAAGGACACAGCAACATGGAGACTAAAATTTATACTGAACAAATAATGATCATCTTTGTGCAGACAAGACTAATTTCTTTGGCTAATATGAATAATCCTTTTTTTAAATCTAAACTCAGCATTTTCAGTACAAATACCTCTTATACATACATATCAGTACATGCATACATAAATATATATCTATATATATATCTAAATTTATCTCTCTCTCTCTCTCTCTCTCTCTCTCTCTCTCTCTCTCTCTCTTTCTCTCTCTCTCTCTCTCTCTCTCTCTCTCTCTCTCTATATATCTATATCAGTGGAGGAGGTTTGATGGGTTATACCTGCTTTCCCTCCTGTGTGACCTAGCACCTGGACGACACGACAACATTAGTGGTTTAAAGGCCTCTGACTTTCAACAAACATTTCATAGTTTGTTGACTGATTTGTAGAGGTTTGTCTCCATGGCAACAGGTAGTTTTCCATGGCAGGTTGGGTTTTAAGAATAAGGATCACATGTGTGAAACACCTCACACCAACCAGTTAGTTTTACTCAAAAATAAACAAACACATGAATAAAGAGTTATGATTCTAGTTCTAGATACTGAAAGTGTCAGAATTTTGTCAGTTTAAAAGAAGTTAGTGTTGCTCCTGATGCAACATGTGAAGAGCTCTCAGACGTCTCAGAATACACCCGCAGCACTTTGATTTAATGACTTATACATCTGTCAAATAATGGATCCTTTCATGCTTTTATTATAATAAAACCCTCAAATTTACCAAGAATTTCCAACACTGGAAGTGGCTGTGTGTTTTTTATCACACACACATGCGTCGCCTTAACGTGTAATGAATTACAATCCCGTTCTTAAAGCCCTATATTTTCATTTTTATAATGAATTTTGTCCTTCTTCAGAGAGTGTTTATCCTTTAATTCATATTGAGAACAAGGTGCAGTACAGCTTCTAATCTCAGTTTTATTCAATATATCCAGCAGGCAAGTGGTTCCTGTGTTGACTGGTCTAATAAGAGGCTGAGAGGTCTGATGGAGCAGAAAATTATTATTATTTCAATCTGCTTCTTGAGAACAGTCTGTTTAGAACAAAATGTTTGTTTAGTAAATGAGAAATGCTTGGCAGAGCAGAATATTGTGCATGAACATTTCTTTATCCTGATCTACTTGTGAGTGAAGTAGACTGAGTGTAACTGTGCTGCTTCGTCTCCCTCTGCTGGTGACAGTGGATCATCTCTGAGATGGCCTGCTACACCTACTCCATGGTTCTAGTGCCGCTGTATGATACTCTGGGCGTGGAGGCCATTGTTCACATCCTCAACCTTGGTGAGAAAACCTGCACATAGAAATAACATGAGAAATGTTTGTTTTTCTTGTCCTTGATCAGTCATTTCAGCAAATAAATAAATAACTCGTATCACTCGTTGTCATTCACGCCGGAGTTTCAAACTAAAATCATCTCATGCTGAGCAGGAACAGAGTTACAGCCTGTTTTAGTCAATGTAAACCTCTTAAATGACCTTGTGGGCTCTCTCATTTCATATTGTGAGATCTCATGAGATGAATTAGTGCTCAAAGATTATCATAGGCTTGTACCGCAGAGTCATTATGAAGAGTGTGTGTGATTGTGATTTACGTCCAGTGATATCATCCAGTGGTTCATGTTCTCTTTTTCCAATGGCGCACAAACGCACGCACGAATGCACGCACGCACGAACGCACGCATGCACGCACGCACACACACACACACACA